CTACATTAACGTAATTGCGGGGATCGCTTAGACGTATCGCGTTTAACGTCAGGAAGCGACATTGCTTGTATCATCATTTGTCATACGCCACGCGCTTATTCCGTAAAATAATTACGAGACGCGTAGGCGAAGCCATTACGAGAATCGCCGTAAGTTAATACGCCACGTGAAGAACATATCATTGCCGGAGAGCGTCTTGCGCGACATAAAATATTGGATAGACCCAAAAGGTTGCGGTTGGTGCCGCGTAAATATTTCACGATGCTTGTTTACGACACAAGTAACGGCACGCAATTGGGCTGAAACCCAGAAATATATTCGGGATACCGCGCGTCTCTTTGCGGATGCGTAGCGTTTTATTACTTTACTGCTCAAAGGGTAAATATATTTTATTTTATTATTCTCAAGCGCCACGACACGTGAGATCCGCCGTGAAATCTATCTCACATGTGTCGCCGTACCTCCTGACACGGGTCGGACAATGCATCCGCTTTCAGCACGTGTCAATATTCTACGTCTGAAGGGTGAAAAGGGGAGGACGTGATTCTCGCGATCCCGGTGAGCCTGTCAGTGATGAAAGTCAGCGATTCGCGCGACAGATGATACATAACGCCGGGGACACGTGTAAAATTAGGCAAAGGAACCGCGTGTGATGAGGCGTCGATAAAAATCGGGACCGGTGAACAGAATCAACTTTAGCGTTACCGACGAGGCTCGGTAAGCGTAAATAATATTGTACTTTAGAAACTAAAAGGATTGTAAAATAGCGATTGTTCAAACGTGCGGTTATTCACTGAATCGTTACCATAATGTTAACGAGTTTAACGTCCTTCTCTCGTTGCTAATTTTGGACGATGCACTTTCGGGATAAGAGTTAACTTTTCACTTCAGGATAAGAGAATAGCGGTATCGCGATTAAACGTTCAATTAGCTCCACGTGAGCGGCTACGATTCCTTTTCCGTCGACTCGGTAGAATGAGAAAACACTGGCGGTGCAATTAGGTAAACGAGGTAAAGAGGCCGGCTTTTTATTGTCGGCGAAGTGGCGAGAGGTTCACCCTTTCGCGGCGAACGTTCTACAAGTTGAGGAAAAGACGCCCGAAAAACGTAATGAATAATTTCCACGCAGCGATCAATCGGTTCGTTTATGCATTCATAATGTCTTAATGAACGTTTAATAGGGGCAGTTTCCAGATGTTATCCGAACAAACTTTATTCACCGTGATGACCGAGATTTAAATTTTCAGATATTCTCGACGAGATAAGTTACATATTATCGATTAATCCTCTAATGTTTCTTGAGAACACGAACCTTCGCTTAACTCTTCGTCAAATCTTTCCTGATATTAAAGCAATATAATTAAAACGATATTAAAACAATGTGAAACACGATGTGTATATGCATATATATTTAACGTGTTTTGAGTCGTGAAGTAGCAATCCTGACATTTGTTACACTTTATGCAAACACGGTTTAGAGTGATTACTAATTATTTTACCTAGATGAACGCGTTTATACGAAAGATAAACAACAATTTTCGATCTTTCCGGTAATTGGCGGACTGACCTAATTAACGATTAACCTTTGTTGTCCCACATCGAAGAGGACACCCGTTATCCCGCATATAATGTTTCAAACCCTCAAATTAAGCCACGAATTGCTATTAGCAAACTATAACTTCAGAATCTCCGTAACGTTTCTCGAATAATAAAATTTCGATGTTGCAACAGACGTCGACGATATGAAAATAAGAGCGAAGAATTTTGCATCTTCATTGCCGATTGGGCCGTAAAAAAAGCAATTTATATGTCAGCTGATTGCGCGATCGCGTATAATATTCCAAACCCTCAAATTAAGCCACGAATTGCTATTAGCAAACTATAACTTCAGAATCTCCGTAATGTTTCTCGAATAATAAAATTTCAATATTGCAACAGACGTCGACGATATAAAAATAAGAGCAAAGAATTTTGCATCTTCTTTGTCGATTGGGCCGCAAAAAAGCAATTTATATGTCAGCTGATTGCGCGATCGCGTATAATATTCAAAATCCTCGTATTAAGCCACGAATTGTAATTAGCAAACTATAACTTCAGAATCTCCGTAACGTTTCTCGAATAATAAAATTTCAATATTGCAACAGACGTCGACGATATAAAAATAAGAGCAAAGAATTTTGCATCTTCATTGCCGATTGGGCCGTAAAAAAAGCAATTTATATGTCAGCTGATTGCGCGATCGTGTATAATATTCCAAACCCTCATATTGAGCCACGAATTGCAATTAGCAAACTATATAATGTCAAAATCTCCGTAATATTCCTCGAATAATAGAATTTCAATGACAGACGTCGACGATATCAAAATAATAGCGAAGCACTTTCCAATTTTCTTCTTTGCCAATTGGACCGCAAAAAAAGGAATTTACATGTCAGCTGATCGCACGGTTGCGATTCTAAATGTCACATGTCATTGAAATCTGTCGAAAGCACGGGACGGGGGAGAATAGTAATTTTGCATCTCCGCTCTGAGCCTGGCGTTACGCGCGTCGTTACAAACATCGCGCCGTAGTTACGAAGGATGAATAATTCGATCCCGCGCCCTCCACCCCGGTGGATTCGGGGCTCCGAAATCCTGCGCAGAGCCGCGCACACATCGCTACGTGCGTATCTACAAGTGCGTTCTCGCGAAAAGGGAATAACTAACGCGCGTCCCCGCAGATATCCGGGATTTCGAGCGGGCGCGATAACACCGACGAAAATACGCGGGGGTGGAAAAGCGCGGAAACGCGACAAGTACCGTCGGCCGGCCAGCGTTACGTTGTTGTTTTGACGTTGCACAATCACGCGATTATTAATACCGACCACTCTCGGCGCGACAAGGGGTAGAGTGATTCATCGACGAGAGCGCGATCGCGCGCGCGCGGTGAACGACGCGCGTGGAATTCCGTGATAAAGGTGAGAGTGCGCCTCGTCGTGTACATGCGACCGGTATTTTCACAAGGCTTTCCCGGGACCTTTACGATCGAGCCGCTGGGAAGTAGCTTTTCCGACGCGAAAATAGAGGTAGGTGCACATCGGGGCTCCCGGAGTCCTGCATTATATTGTCTCGAGATGATAAGCAATCACGTGAAATACACGCTACGTTTACCCGCGTCTATTTTCGAGCGCAGACTTACGTCTGAAAGTTCCGCTTGTCTCCTCACAACAAATTAAACTGTGAGTTCGACTGGTGATAATGTCGTAATGAAATCGAACGTCGGTGTCAACCGCGTGCTCGTCACATTGAAGACCAGATTTAATGTCTGATAAAAGAAAGACAGGTCCTCTCGTGGATTTAAACGAACGCGAAAGTTTTGTTATTTAATTGCACCCCGCGGCAAGTTAGTTCGCGAAAAATCCTTTATTTCCCAATCATTCGTAACGCGAAAACTGCCCTCGACACGTTTCAATTAAGAAAAGCTTGACCGTTCGTCGGCGAGGGAACCTGTCGTTAAGATTTCACTCGGATATTCGCAGTATTTTTACGTAATTTACTGCATTAGCGCCTGTCAATCCATTTTCATTAAATGCGCATTGCGCTGGCAGACCAAAAAAAACTAACGTTCCTACGTTTCTTTCATCGTCCACATATTTTTACGCATTTGCCGGCATTTTCACTACGTCCAGTTATCCCCGCGAACAATGCGGGGACTTGATAAAACAATTTTTTTTCGGCTTCGCCGCGAATTTGTTCTGTCAGCGCGAGATTGAAACAGCACTATACTATACTTTGTTTCTCCCGCGTCGCTTTCTCTATCAAATCAAGTCTTATATTCACGAGAGTAATTGGATTGTTTGTCGATTATGACAAAATTACATTTTAAAGTAAATTTCATGCATAAGAAGAAAGAAATGTAAATGCTAAACGTTAATTCAACGGTATTGGTTCAATAGAAAATAATAAAATGCCAGTGGGTTGTCGTAATTTTATGCAATAACTGGAAATTTTAAAGATTCATTGCAGATAAATATTTTGTGGGCAAATTTTCAAAGTTTCAGGGTTTTAATATTTTAAAAATGTATCAATAAAATTAATGTAATTTGGCACGGTAGCCAGCAATTTTAACGTTTCATTAATATTCAATGTGCAAGTTGTTCAAAACTTATTACCGATGTAAAGTTTAAAACGTGAAACATTAAAATTTCTGAATACTACATAAAGACGTGTTATCGTACTGACATTTTACCTTGAATACTGAATCGACGAATCAAAATATATATTTTTTTATACTTTGTGCACAAAGCAGACCATGTCTGAAATATAACTTTTTCATCGTCATTGGCAAAATAGTCATTTTATGAATGCGAGACTCCATTTTGATGTGAGAAAGTAGCGTGTATAGAAAAGATATTTTGTTCAAGGAAACAGAAAAGAGACAATTTCTCAATTTTTGTAAACCGATGAAACTTAACAAAGCCGAGTGTTCTATCAATTATACCAATTATTATGAGGCGGAATGAACTTGCGTAAAATTTGTTTGCGGTTCAATAAGACAATCGGTCAATGCCCGAGGAAATTATATAGTCTCAACGAAACTTAACTTCCCGCGAGCAAAGCGAACTTTTAATTTCTAGGAAATGTAAGCTAAATACAATTTTGTCACGTAATTGCTTCGACACACGCAGTCCTCAAAGACCACATGACGATAATATTAGATTAGAAAAGACGTGCGAAGATACAATTTGCACACAAGTCATGTGGAATCGTCACTGATTTCCAGCCGAGATGAGAGATCGGACGTTCAAGCGTGAGGAATGTAAGTCGAGATGTAAGCTTGCGGGACAGATAAGCCGAGCCGAGCCGATTCATTACCTCGGTTTCCGGTTATCGATGGGCCTCGATTTAACCGGCCTAACTGCCCAATTAACTTTCCGCCCCCCCCCCCCGCGTGTCTCGCGCGAGCAAAAACGTCCAGTCGGGGGTCATACGTGTAGGGGAAAGTAATTAATTCCACTTACCCTGCCTATCTGTCTTATCCCGTCCCGTCGCAGAGATCACTGTCCCACTTCCCTCGACGAGCGGCACAAAGAATCACAGTTCACGAGAAAAGATATGCACGACGGATGACGACGGCGACGGCGACGACACGTAGCTCGCGAGCGATCATCCGCGGGAGGGAATTTCTCTTTGTATCTCCCTTTCTCTCACTCCTCTCTCTCTCTCTCTCTCTTTCTTTCGGACTCTGTCGAGCCACCTCCGGAGCTTCCCTAAGGAAATCTCACTGTCCCGAGAGCCTCGGGCCGGAAGAGGACGCGCTCACGACGACGACGACGACGACAATAACGATGACGACGATGACGATCGAGCCAAGTGCACTCACACGTTTCGCGTTGCGCATGTGTATACATATATCTATCTATCTATCCATCTGTCTATATTTATATATATCTCTGTATACGCATCTCAATGGAACTCGCGACGTTTCCTCTTCTCCCTTTCTCCCTCTCTTTCTCCATCTACCCTCGTTAAGCTCACTGAGTCTCGCGACAATCTCCGCTCGCTTCTTCTCACTCGCGAGCCACCCTTCCGCCCTCTCGCTACCGACTCTATCTCTCCCTCTCACACTCACAGACACTCTCTTTCTCTCTTCCTCCCTCCCTCTCTCTCTCTCTCTCTATATCTCTCTCTCTCTCTCTGCAACTAGGATAAAATGATATGTATTCGTTCGCGACGGCGGTCCCCGAAACTGCACGGCTGTTCCTCGCGTTTCACACGTTCACTTCGGCCGGCGATCGAGAGCGTCTGATTTTACCCAGCCACCCCCGTATCATCCGTCCGCTCGTTGGTTGACTTTCCTCCCTTGTGCTGGCTCCGCTCCGTTCCTCGCTCTTTCTATCTCTCTCAATCTCTCTGTCTTTCTCTCGACGGAGACCCCGTTGCACTCCACCTCGGACGACAACCCTCTTATTCACTATTATTTTTGCTTGAAACTAAAACTAAATACGGACAATAATACTCCCGGTGCACACGGCTAATATCTCTACACTCGCACGACTATCCCGTGTGCGCTCTAACCCAAGTCATATTTTAAGTACGACGACGCACGGGCGGTGCGACCGTGGGGTTACACTCTCTGCCTCTCACGCTGCCGCCTCCCTCTTGTGCCCCGGTCGGCGGCGACGCGCCCCTACCCGCCGCAGGTATCCCCACCAGGGGACGCCGCTCGCCCTTGACGCGCCACCCCGCCGCGCAGTGACGTGCCGTCGGAAGTTTAACCCCCCATCGAGACGTGCGTGTCGTCCGCTCTTGTTTTCTATCGCCGAAGCGAAGCGTTACGGGGCCGGCTTTGTCGCTTTAACTTATTCGCGCGTCGATAAACGCCGGGACGCGGTCGTTCTCGCCGTTGTCCATCCTCGGTTTCGTTCATTAAAACGGAGACTTCCACGAATTCAAACGGCGAGTCTCCTCGAGAAAGTCCCTTCTCGAGAAGGCGCCAATTCTTTTGATGAAATTAGAGAGAAAATTAAGCAGAGGAATGCGATCCACACATTATCAGCTGTACATTATATAAATTTGTTGTAATATGCGAAATATTAATCTCGCGGGCTAAGACATCGCGATCGCTGTAGAGACAAAGCTGCCGCCGCACGTTCCCCGTCTCGTCGCGTTAATCCTCGATCAACCCCCTTTCGTAATCGCCCGGGCTCCTCCGCGCGATCGAGACGCCCCTGACGCCACGACCCCTTATTCCCCGCTCGGGAAATCGCAGTGACGGAATTCTGCCGCAAGGTTCCGTGCCGCTCGAATATTTCCACGGCGTCTTTACGTGTTTCGCGAAATAACACAAGTTTATTACGGAACCTTGATTGTTCGGCTTTGATGAACTTGGAGCACGTTGCACGAAGAAATTGCGCTACGCTACAACCTTTCCAAGTTTCGCTCGGGAAACGTTTCCCGGTATCGCGGCGCGACACCCCCCTCACTCGCGACGCCCTTGAAATTATAACAGCCCACTCCTGTGCCGAGCGGGAGACAGTAACGTAGCCGGAGTATCGCTTTACACAGAGAATTATAATTAAATTAATGATATTTACGTCTCCGTGAAATTGTGGGCGTGAAGTTAACGCGCGTACAGAGATCCAGTTTAGCGTTCAAATGAACGGCGCAAACTCGCGATGGAATGCACGTGTGCCATTCATAAGCTGCAATTTTTCGCGATACCCGATACGTCGCGTGGAACACAACAGATTAATGTCGGCGCCGGAAACGCGAGCGAATCCGAGAGCTTTCCGCCCCGTCTCTGCATATAATTGCAGAAAGAGATAAAGAGAGAGAGCGAGAGCGAAAGAGAGAGAGAGAGCGTTACGTTATTTCGCCTCAGCTGGAGGTGAGCTCGAGTGAGCCGTCAAAATTACGACAGCCCTTATTAGCGCCGGGGGCTCGCGGAAATTTCTAATCGTCGTGTTTCGTGCGGCAGTTTTTGCGGCACCGTGACGCCACGCCTCCCCCCGACCCCACCCCGCTCGCCATTCGGTCGATCGGCGATAACGTCGGTATTGTTGTCGTACGTCACTGACCGCCACCCCCGCGGGGAATTGTACCACCCCTCTCTCCCGCCGCCGTTTTCCCTACCTTTCGCGCAACCCCCGCGGCCCCCGTGTCCCACCTCCCGCCCCTCGCGGAAACGGGGCTCAATGGTAGCCGCAGACTACTTATGGTATCTGAACGCCCGATGCCTAGAGCGACGCGTCTGATACGGCCCGATAGGTGAATGGACAGAGGCCCGTCTCCATCCCGCGGCAAGCGCCACACCACTAAATCATGCATGCCGAAACCGTCGCGGGGGTGGTCGCGCGCGCGCGCGCGCCCGTCACGTGATGCACTCGCACAGGGCGCCGCGAGATCACGGGGGGTCCGTACCCCCGCGTATCCGCGCGAGGGTATGCGAATCCGAGCTCGATCGAGCTGCCGATCTCCCCCGTCGATCTCCGTACGATTAGCGCGATACCGTCGCCGCGTGGCGTCGAGCGGCGCCGCGGGGGATGAATTTAGAGCGGACGACCAGTTTCTGCGCAGCTGATCCGCCGCCTCCGTAAACATCGGCCGACGCGTTCCGCGGCCCGGCCTGCCCGTCTATCCCTCCGATACATTAACTCTAACTAATATTTATAGCAACGATCTCCTACGGGTATTAACGTATTACAGCCGCGCAAGGCGATTACTTTCCTCGGGGAAAAACAACCCCGCCGACACGGCAAGCGACTCTCCTGGCGATCCCTCCCCCGCCTGCTCCCCCCGGGTCGCTCCAACTCGTACGATCGCGGAAATTGTGCGTTACCGGAAGTCACGTATTTCGAGAGCGCGGCGGCGAGGGGTGATGGGGTGGTAGGGGCGCGAGCGAGGAAAGAGAACATCGGGGCGGCTTATCCCTTCCGCGTCCCCCGGCCGCGAGTTTTCACGAGCTCTACTCCCCACTCGGGGGTTCGTTTCCCTACCTGGCGGCCGGGGGATTCTCCTATTGACGTACCGGTCCCCGCCGACCTAACCCCGCAGACATCTCGCCCACGTCTACCCCCACGCGCGCCACCGCCCTCCCCCCTCCCGCCGCTCCGCGGCACGGTCTGACGTAACGCGACGTTACGTCAGACCTCCCTCGCGGCCCGCTGCTGCAACGGGTGGTCTCCGGACACTCGCACCCCCGCGCAAACGGTCTCCCTATCTCTCTTGCTCTCTCTCTTCTTTTCTCCCTCCCCCCCTCTCTCTCTCTCTCTCTCTCTCTCTCTCATTCACTCGCTGTGCTCTGCGCGATGGCATTTCTTATTGCCGCAACGCGGTGCTTCTTTATAATCAAGGACCCCGCCTTCGCGATGCCACCTTCGCGAGTAGAACGCGATTTCGCGGGGAAAAAAAACGAAAGAAAGAAAAGAAGTACGTTAGATAAAACGTTGGATGGGCGGCGAGAGGAGGCTCTTCCGTCGCGAGGCGCGCCACGGGAGTCCCCTTTTCACGGTTCGATTTAAAATCCTGTCCCTTTCATCCCGTCGTACCTTATCCCAGGCTTAATCTCACTTTCGGCGGAGGGAACCCGTTGCCGTGGGACGCCCTCAATGGAGGTGTCTCGACGGCGACCTGTGTTATTCCGCGCGATCTAATTCGCGATCGCGGCCGAAGGATCGCGCCCTTTCGCACCGCCCCCGTAATTCCAGCAGCCGGCGGCTTTCGGGAAGTTTGCTCACCGGCGTCTGTATAGTTAGCGGTGACAACGTAATCATTACGGTAGACTCGAAGAAAGAGGAGGAGCGAAAGGGAGGGAGGGGGGAATTCCTGGAAATCGCCCCGTTCCGCGTAGGACGGATATAGAGTTGATTTTACGTTAATGAATTCTTAGAACAATCGTGAGAAAGTAGGCGATAACAAGCTGCTCGATCTAAACACGACGACGTGCGACCGCGAAATACCGTTTCTCGTCGAGGTAACCACTTGATGTGATCGTGAGACAGTGTCTCCGAAGTCGTTGCGAAAACCTTATACGAAATCCCCCCCGCGTGTAATCTTCGTTTTCAAGTTTCTTCACTTGCTGCTCTCTAAAATTTGTGGAGTGAAAATACTGCCATGGAGTGAAATGTTCGCCCTATTGGCGTGAATATTTCCTCCAACAGAGTGAATATTAACTCCAACAGAGTAAACATTTCACTCCGCGGCAGTATTTTCACTCCACTTTTAGGGAGTGGACAAACATTAAATATGAACATTTTCTCAGCTTGCTTCGATTTTCCCCCCAAATTTACTTCTTTTGGGAAATTTTTGAAACATCGATACACCTTGGCGCGCAAACTTCAAGGGGACGCTGGAGTGATTCTGCACTTTTGCACCTTTTGCACTTAAAACACTGTCTGTTTCGTGGAAACACTTGTATAATATACAAATTAAATGGCTTACGCGTACAGATCGAAAGCAGCTTGCTATTCCGGCTAAATTAAAGAACAATATAACAGGCATCGCTGAAACTAAGTTTGTAAGTCTAATAAATAATAATAGTGAGCAACACACGTACCACATGTATGTGTGTATTGCTCACTATTATTTCTTATTACAAACTTAGTTTCAGTGATGCCACATTGTTCTTTAATTCAGCCGGAAAAACAAGCTACTTTCGATCTGTACACGTGAGCCATTTACTTTGTATATTACACAAATGTTTCCGTGAACCGACCGTTTCTAGATTAGAAAGGCGCAAAAGTGCAGAATCACCCCAGCATCCCCTGAAACGGTACATGCAAGTGTAAAATTACTTCTCGTTAAGACCACGATTAGAGTCGACTAGTGGGAAAAGTGGCAAGGAAACACGTTTTCTACCCAGCCGAATACTATAATCTTACGTAAAATCGCCTCTCCAAGCAAATACTTATTAGTAAAATAAAAAAATATATGCCTTAAGGAAATCTAACAGCTCTTTGAGATTTAACAACGTCGCATATTTTTTAACGCACGTATAAGAAAATACAGATTTGCAATTAGGCGCAATTATTTCTAATCAGATGAAATCGTGTGAAATCTGACGAAATCGTTTAATCGTTGGGGCAACGTTTCAGCTAGTGGTTACCCCCTTGTTTCTCGATGCGCGTGCAATCTCTGCCTGCAATTTCGAGATTTTTTAAATACGCGCGAGGCACATTTGCGTCCCCGTTCGCGATTATCGTCTGTAAATTTCGGATAATCACCGGCGACGTATACACCGCGCGTGTGAGAGACGCGAAATTCCGATTCTCACGATTCGCATGAATTCCGAATGCCGCGTCCCTCTGAAATTTCACATTCCGCTTTCATTTCAGGCTCCCCGGCGCCGCCGCGCCGAGGATTGAAAATATCAATTCTACGTTTGCGCTTTGAATTACTTTAAGCAATGTACACGTCGCATCTGCGTTTGCACGGTTTAATTCCGCGCGAGTACCGCGCGTCCAGCGCAGTTATTAAGCATAATTAATCGTCAGCGACGGACGTTAATATTCGTGCGCGTTTTAATCGCCGTACCAGTTTCGCAGTAAATGTCTCAAGGTGGTATGGTCGAGCAATATATCGCCCGCCCCAAATAAATCCACGATAAAAATGCGCGGTTCAATTGAAACGTAGCGCAGTTCTTTTCCGTGTGGTCAACAATTAGAAAAAAAAGGGGGTTCTTAATCGGCAAACGACTGTAAGAGCGCAGCAGCCATATTGATTGAGGTATCGCGAATATCGATCGCGAACATCACGCACTTTTTCTCAAACATTCATCGTGTCGGTACTCACCAAACGTGTGGATGTGGATGCATGTCGTACGTGAATGCACGTGGGTGTCCGCGGTGTATCGAACTCGAGTCCGCAGGTCCACATAAGTCCGCCAGGTCCAAATATCAGCGCGGTTCAATCATCCCGGCGGGAAGAGTACGAGGTTCGCAGCAGTTCACTAGCGGAAACGGGCAGAGAGATACGAGGATGGCGTCGGTGGCGCCACGCGTCGTCGTAAGCGCGAACCTACTCGAAGCGCGCGCGGCTCGACCGATAACGAAGGAATTTGTAATTGTAAATTTTTAGGCGCGCGTGTAAAGCCTCGCCTACAGTTGCAAGAATAGTCGACTATTCTTTACGACTACGACTTTACGACTTCTATGTAGACTTCAGTCTTTCGTTAAAACCGCGGCGCGATTTATAAAAGGTCCGATTTGTGGGGCTATGCCCATTCTACACCTAGGGATGATCCTACTTGTGGCTCATCCGATACTCGCTTCTATACCTAAAGCTAATCCTACTTACAGCTTATCCAAGGGAGTAGTATAAAGTGTAAAAGGTTTACACTTTGGTTGGTTTCCAATCGTACCAAAGTACAACTACAGTGTACCTTTTACACTTTATACTACTTCCTCGGAT